GTAGTTTCTTATACTGGGCCTCTCCTCCACTTTTCTCTCTCCTCTTACTACTATTGAGCTGATTTTAATCCCCTCATTTCTTACTTATCTAGACCTTCCCTTCTTATTTTTCATTTTCCCTCTGAGCCACCATCCACTTGGCTGTGAGAAAAAAATGGTTTCATCATGTTTATATACACTTAATTGATCTTGTTACTCTCTAACACCATTTTCCATGATCTCTCCATTATTTTGGGAATACAGTCTAAATGCTTCAGAATGTTATTTAAGACCCTTGGTCTGGCCCATCTGTCTGCATGAATTATGTCCCTGCCATGCCTGCTCCCGTTCGATGCCATTTGTTGAACAAACCTGGACTCCAGCCATTCGGGCTACTTGTAGCTGCTGCATACGCCATGTCTTGTATTCTCTCTGCCTTCATTCTTCCTTACTTGCCTTCTCAATTTTGTCAAATTCCACTTGTCTTTCAAATCTCACTTCAAGTACCTACTAGTCCAGAAAGCCTTCTCTATCTACCTCCCTACCCTATGACCTAATAAACTCTAAGTGATTCTCTGTTGGTCCTGAAATGTATCCCACTCATGGGATTCAGGACACACTACCCCACAATATGATACTGAATATTTTAAGCTGAAGGAGTTTGAGAAATGGCGTGTGCAAGAAGGACTTTCTGACCTTCCCCTCATGTGAAAGTTGCCTCCCCTAAACCCAAATGAAAGGAACATTCTTACCTCTGAGGACAAAGGACAGAGAGAAGAATCTGAATGAATAGGCTTTGTGAAGTTCCCCCTAGTTTCCTACAGTTAGTTCATACTCTTGGCTCTATCATATCTTTCCTGACTTTCTGCTCTTTATCAGATTAGCAAAGAACACTCTGGTTTAACCATTTCTTTGGTCTTCATTTCCTTATAAAGGTTCTTGGGTCATGTAAAATGTGTATTAAATAAATGTGTAGGCTTTTCCTTTCTTAATCTGTCTTTTGTTATAGGGGACTTCTGCTGTCCAAGTATTATCTAAGTTAAGAACTTAGAAGGGTAGAAAAAATTTTTTTCCTCCCCTATACCACCATGTTTTTGTTCTCTTTTGCCTTTTTTCTGCCAGATCTGGTTTCAAGACCAACCACGTTGTAAGGCATATATCTTTCATTACTGCATCTGCAATTTTTAGTGTCTGTTGAATGGGTTAACAGAGCAAACAACAAATTCTTCCTTGTGGAGTGCTGTGTTAGTTTCTTATTACGTGAAAAGGATATATCCTCTATGATTTTCTCCAAAATTTCATAGTACCTTCTGGGGATATTTAGTAAAATAGGGCTTAGCGATTATACATATGTACTTGACAGTTTACCCAGAAAGACAAAGACCCAGAAAGCAAAAGACTGCACCTATGAGTGTTTTACTTTGTGTAATTTTTCGCTTTCATGACAAATGGGATCTTTGCTTATTTCGTGGCCATTGTAATCTTCTCTTTCCAGGTTTGAAAGGCATAGTACTTATAAATTTTAGGAAAACCAGGTAACACCCCGTATCTTTGAAAAATTATCCTTGCTTCCCGAAAGTGTTCTTGACAGCTTGTCAGTAGGGGCAAGGGGACTGGATAGGTCTTCCATTGCTTTTGGCCAAAACTGGTTAAACTCGATGAACATTGGCAGTGGCAGTACACTCAGGTGTCAAGTCAGAATGCACATTTTGGATCACTTTAGCATAAATCAGAATTCAGGCATGAGTTAAGTTTTTTTTTTTTTTTTTTACATATATATATTCTTTGTCACTCAGTTTCTTAACTAAAGGGATATATAACACTTCTTACTATTTGTCAGTGTTGGGAATTATATTTAAGAGGAGCTGATTTATTTTCTCTGGGTCTTAGGACTTGTTCAGTAACTGCTTGGAGAGTTACTGATGTGAATTAGAAAATGGTGTCGGGGGCACCTGGGTGGCTCAGTTGGTTAAGTGTCTGCCTTCAGCTCAGGTCATGATCTCGGGGTCCTGGGATCGAGTCCTGCTTCGGGCTCCCTGCTCCGCGGGGAGCCTGCTTCTCCTTCCACGCTCTACACTCCGTGCTTATGCTCTCTCTCTCAAGTCTTAAAAAAATTGGTGTCAGTGCTCTTTTCTCCTGCCTGCTCCCTACTGTAATTTATTGTTCTGAATGTAAAAATGGAGCACATTTATATTTATCTAATAACAGTAATACGAATATTAGTTTGTATTTATAGTATTTTTCAAATGGATTATCAGGGAAGAAGGATTCATCCTGTCATTCAAGCTCCTTCTGGCTCAATTAAGAATCACATTGACATGAGACATATTAACGGGAGAAAATCAAATTTAATAGCATACCTGTGGGGAATGCACACAGACGTGAAAATTCCAAAGGTGTTTAGGCAGCACGAGACTTACATGAGCTATAAGGAGAGGAGTGGAGTCTGAGGATACAGAGGGGAGAGAGACCATTAGCAGGGAGGCGAGGGGAGATGGCTCTAAAACAGAGGCTCCCTGTTAGGGAGATAAGTTTCTTAGGTAAAGAAGAATTGCTGTTCATAGCTGTCTACCTTATATGAGTAGGCAGTTGAGGGGGAGGTAAAGAGCTTTTCCTGAATCTATTGGATTTTGATTGCCTTTGACTCAAAATAATGTTCATGCCCAAGTGGCCCATCTTGGGCCCATCTTGGTGGCCTTCCCTTGGCCCCTACAATATGCACCAGCTTATAAACAGCAGGAAGTATAGTATTAGAATAATGTGGTTTATAGCCTTCATTTTAATGGTTCTATACATTTCTTTCCACACCCTCTTCCCATGTATTTATTGTTTTATTTCTTGATATTTACCTTTTAAGATCATATTCGTACAGCATGGTTCAATAAATATTCTTCCTTGTTTTCATTCATGTGAAAGTATCCCCAGCTTTTATGTATTTCATTTGTTAACTAGTTCACTTCACGTGTGAGTCAAGCCACGTGTTTTTCTTAAAAGCATTCCATCCTTTTTTGGTGACTGCCTTTCAGTTTTCCTTGTTTCTCTTTAGTTTAGCAGTTTATTTTTTGTATGTTCACCTGCACCTCATTTAAATCCTTTTTTTAGGGCGCCTGGGTGGCTCAGATGGTTAAGCGTCTGCCTTCGGCTCAGGTCATGATCCCAGGGTCTTGGGATCGAGTCCCACGTCGGGCTCCCTGCTCCTTGGGAGCCTGCTTCTCCCTCTGCTTCTCTCTCTCTCTCCCCTCCTCTGTCTCTCATGAATAAATAAA